TTCTCTTAGATAAGAGGTCAGCAAGCTTTTCCTATAAAGAGCCAGATGATAAGTATTTTAGGCTTTGTGAGATAGTCTCTGTCTCATACTCTTTAATGTGTTTACATTTACCCCTAGGTTTGTATACGCATATTTGGTTTATCTATCTATTCATTCATGCATTTGTTTGGTATTTATCCTTTTTGATGTTCTCTGAGTTTCTTGGATCTGTGGTTTGGTATCTGTTACTAATTTTGGAAAATTCTCAGTCATTTATTTTTCAAATATTTATTCTTCCTCATCTTTCCTCTCCCACCGGGATTCTAATTATGCATATATTAGAATATTTGATATGGTGTCACAGCTCTTACATGCTCTATCGTTTCCTTCCACCACTTTTTCTTCTCTTTGCATTCCTATTGACCTATGTTCAAACTCACTAATTATTTCTTCTGCTGTGCTATGTCTGTTGATGAGCCCATCTAAGGCATTTTTTACTTCTTTTTTTTATGTCTAGCATTTCCCTTTGATTCTTATAGTGTCCATCTCTCTGCTAAAATTATCTGTCTGATCTTGCATATCATCTATCTTTTCCACTTGGGTCTTTAAAATATTAATCATAGTGACTTAAATCTGTCCAGTTGTTCCAGTATCTGTATCTTCTTTGGGTCTGGTTGATGATTGCTCTGTCTCTTTGGACTGTGCTTTTTCTTACCTTTAGGTATGCCTCATAATTTTTGCTGAAAGTTAGACATGTTGTATAAGACAGTAGACACAGAGGTCAGTATTTTTATGCTTGAAAATAAGAACATCTTTCTTACTGTTAGGTTTTTATTGTAAGGATTTGTGTTAATCTAGTTAGGGTGGGCTGGATTTGAAATTTGTAATTGCTATAGTTACCAAAGCTGGAGTTTGTTGCTGCTATGGACACTAGCGATTTCAAATTCCTGTAGTGGTACCTTGTTTTGAACTTGGTTTTGGGTTTTCCTTTGTGCTGCTCCCTAGAAAGAAAATGCCTTGCAAAACTCACTTGGTCACATTCCACTGTGATTTTTACCAAAGGTTTGTTCATGTAATGGGGGAAGAGTGACAGGTTTTCTGATGTTCCAATTAAGCCTCAATCTTAGGCAGGTACTGTGAATTTGGGACTTGGGGGCTGTACCCTTCGTAAGTGTTCCCTTCTCAAGGAATATGACTGTTTTTTAACATTTAGGGTTTTTTTTTTTCCTGCCTGTTCTCTTTCACCAGCTTCACTGGATAACCACCAGTGTCCTCAGACAATGGGTTTGATACCGTTCTCCCTGCAGATAATGGCTTTCTTTTCCTAGGAAAGATTTCACAACATGGGTGTGCACAGAGTCTGAGCAATGATTGCTTTTCCTGTCCCCTAGCCAGCACCATAGGAAAGTTTTCTCTAAATACTTTCCCAATCTTCCCTGAGAGAGCCTGCTCACCTTCACATTTCATGCCAGCTCACACCAAGTCTGTAGCAGTTCATTAAAAAATTTCTGGTTTAATCTTTGTACCAGCTTATATGGCATTCAAAAGCATCTATCTCAGTCAAGCAGTTCCTATCCCAGAATGCTCAGTTCCTATTGCTTTCTGCAGGCACCTGTCCTTGAAATTCTGCGTTGGTTGTCCTCTGACTTCAGTTTTCTGAAGGGTTTAAGAAAAGGTGTTATCTTGCAGTTTGTCCAGCTATTTTCCTTGTTGTAGGAATGAGAGTGTCATCATTCCCGCTCTCTTCATCACCAAACTGACACCTGAAGCCTCCAGAAGCTAAATATATAAAGAATTAAGAGTTCTTTATATGTGAGGTGTATTAGCCCTTTATCTGTGAGGTATATTGCAAATATTTTCTCCTGGCCGGGCATGGTGGCTCACGCCTGTAATCCAGCACTTTGGGAGGCCAAGGCAGGAGGATCACTGGAGGCCAGGAGTTTGAGACTAGCCTGGCCAACATGGTGAAACCCCGTTTCTACTAAAAATACAAAAATTAGCCAGGTGTGGTGGCACGCATATGTAATCCCAGCTATTCAGAGGCTGAAGCTGGAGAATCGCTTGAACCTGGGAGGCGGAGGCTGCAGGGAGCCAAAATCACACCACTGCACTTCAATCTGGGCAATGAAGTGAGACTGTCTCAGAACAAACAAAAAGAAACCAAACAAATATCTTCTCCCAGTTTGTCAACTGTCTTTCGATTTTATTTATTTCTTTTCTTTTTTAAATTCTGCCCGGTTTTGCCTTTCCCATAGAAACCCCAATAAAAGCGATGGCTTAGGCTTTACCCTCAGTACTGCTTCTGCCTGACCAAACTGTATCTCTCCTGTGGCTCTGTGTGATGTGACTTGTCCTCTTCTCCATGGAAGTATTAATCATAAATTCTTCTTTCAGTGGCACTGATCTATCTGTGTCATCACTCAAGTCAACCACATAAATTAAGACCTGGGTACAGAACAACTCTGATTCTATTTCTATAAAATTCTAGAAAACGCAAACTAAACCATAATGACAAAAATAATAATAGTGGTTTCCTAGGGATGGGATGTGGGCAAAGAGAGACAAAGGAAGGAGGGATTACCAAGGAGCACAGGGAAATTTCGGGATGAGGGATATGCTCATTGTCTTGACTGGTGATGGTTTTACAGGTGGGCCAAAACTAATCAAACTTTACACTTCATCTATATGACCAGCTATCATATGTCAATTATACCTCAATAAAGCTGTTTTAAAAACATTTAGGGTATACCTACTGAAAATAAAACTGCTTTTAATTACAGACTATATCATCATGTGCATAGAAAAATCCAAAGGATTCTACAAACAAGCTACTAGAACCGCTGACTTCATCAAGATGCAGGTACAAAGTTAATATTCAAAAGCAACTATATTTCTATACAAAGGCAACAAAAAATGGAAAAATAAAAATTTTAAAATAATACCATTTATAATAAAAGAGTACTGGGGAAGACTGTACATTGAAAAAATACAAAACATTGCTGAGACAAATTAAAAATAATCAACAAGATGGAGATCTATACTATGATCATGGATTAGAAAATTCAATATTGTTAAGATGTCAATTCTTCCCAAATACGTGTACAAATCCAACATAATCCCAACCAAAATCCCAGGTTTGTTTTTTTTTTTTTTTTGAGAAATTAATAAGCTGACCCTAACATTTAGATAGAAATGCAATTTTAAAAAGGAAAAACAAAGTGAGAGAACTATCTACTTTCAAGATTTATTGTAAAGCTACAGTAATCAAGACAGTGTGGTACTGCCATAATTATAGATCAAGAGAATAATAGAGTCCAGAAACAGATTCACACATAATGTGGTCAATTAATTTTCAACGAATGTACCGAGACAATTAATTCAATGGGGGAAAAGACAGCTACCATAATGGAGCATTTTTTGGCATTCTGAAAATGTTTTGTAACTCAATTGTGGTGATGGATATATAGCTTCATACCTTTGTCAAAACTCAGAGAATGGTACACTCAGAATTGGCACATTTTATTACATGTAAGTCATACCTCAAAAAAGCTGAGTTGGTGACAAAGATTTATATATGTTGTTGATAGAAGAACAAATCCAAATGCTTATTAAACATGGAAATATATTTATCCCCATAAATAATAAGGGAAGTACAAATTAAAACAAAAAGCATATCACAGTCATCATAAGAGTAAAAATCACAAGGTCTGACAATTCAAAATCTAATAAGTATATGAGAAAATTCTAGACAGCAGTGTGAACTGCTACATTTGCTTCAGACAGCAATTTAGCAATATCTGGTAAAGCTGAAAAAGCACACACTCTATAACAGCAAGTCCACTTCTAGGTATATATCCTAGACAGAATACTGCACATATACAGAAGAAAAGCACACAGAAGTGCACATTTGAGATTACATTGCTTGTAATAAAAAAATTGGAAATAATATATTAAGATGGGGAAATACATAAACTTTACAATTCATAAAATGTTTAAAATTAGAGAAATTATATATATACAGAAAGTTCAAAAATATAATTTTGAAGAAAAAATCCTACAGTGACACATTCAGTGTGAGATCATTTATGTGGACTTAAAGCACATAATAAATCAATCTCTGAAAACAGAGATTGGATGGATACACACACCAAATTTTAATAAAGGTATGCTGGACTAGAAGCAGAACAAAGGTGATTTTAACTGTATTTATAATATTTTAATTATTGTAAAATAGTTGATGCAAAAATGACAAAGATCAGCATTTATTTATTTTAGATGGTTGATCACACACATTTGAATATTATTTTCTAAGTCTCTGTAGTTTTAAGCATTTCAAAATCTAAAGAATAATAATTTTAAAATACTATAAAAATATGAATAAAGGACTAGAAATCAGTAACTTTTAATTAATATGCTGGATTCTGAGACAACTTTAAACTCGACAGTAGTATTTACCATGGTGTCAAATTTAGCATTTATCTTGAGTTCACAAGCCGAATTCACTAATTTTGTCTCCATTTTCAAATTTTTAGTATTTGTAGACTACTATAACAACCATACTCTTTTAGGCTAAGTGTTGGAACATAGTAATAGATTTCTGGCTGTGTGACTAAAGAAATCTTACCGTACTAACGTAACTCCAAGATTACTATTCAAGCTCATCACTCTCACTGTCCCTTTGCGTGGTCATCGTGCCCACGTATGAGGTGTCCAAAGTCAAAAGCCCACGCCCATTTAGAACCTTTTTGGCTCCCATGACTCTCTTTTCCATTTGGCTTGTCTATTACCCTGGCCATTATTTACACACTAGGGTTCATTCTTTGAGTTCATAAGACAACAGTTTCTGAGGTCTTTAAATTTTACGAGAGGAACTTATGATATTCTGCTCAACTGTAAGGATACACAAAATTAATTCACTTGAAAGCTCCCCTCCCTTTCTTTTTAACAAGATTGTGCTGACTATTTTTATCTGATAAAGAGGATCACTCTACAAATATTATTTGTCTCAAATGATGACTCACCTCTGGATAAAGATGGAAGCGTTTTACTGTATTAATTACAAGAGGATATTCAGTAAGCCTGTCATTCATAATCATCCACAGTCCTTCCAAAAATGAAGGTGCTTCAATAATGGTCTTGAAGTAGGAATAATAAAGTCCCTTTAAAAAAAAAAAGCACATATTGTCAATGTAATTAAAACTTTAAAATAATTATTTTTATCACTTCTATAGAACATTTTTTTCCGGGAAAAAAAAGGTCAATAATAAGACTTCCTAATTACTCCTCGCTGTTTTGCATTCTTGGACTTTAAAAAGCACGTATTTTCAGGTGATCACTGTACTATTCTTTCAAATTTTCTATAGGCTTTCAAACTAAAGAGTTGGAGGGATGGTCAAACGATTTAAAGAGTTTCTCTAATAATGTCTTAAAAGGTGTAGACTGTATATGTTTAATTTTCCCAAATCTGGTTTTATCTCTCACATTTGAGATGCTTGAAGGTTCACATCTGATTAATTCTATCATAAACAGGGATGCCTTCATGCCTCTGTACAACTTTGCATATAGAAAATTACTTCTTTTTTTCCCATGCTCTTAGGAAATAAAATATAATGACCATAAGTATCATGAGCAAGGAATCCAATGCTTCTAGCTTATTTCATAGCTCCATCAAATCCTCTGTGCAAGGTGAAAGCTCAATGTCGATTGACTATTGTTGCTCACAAATGCTATATACTAAAAAGCATATTATTTTAGTGTCTTACACTTCAGCATATAAAATAAAGGCTTCATTAGGATAGTAAAAGTGCTGTTGAGTTAAAATTCATGGATTAACAACAGCATGTTGTGTCTTATTTCCCCATCAGTTTCTTGCTTTCGCTCCTAAAATCTACAAAGCTAAAAAGGGCCACATTGTTTAAAATGCACTCTCCCTAAAAAATGCTATATGCTATAATCATATCTGCCTCATCCAACACAAGTAACTACTAAATTAAAGGTCTGTTTTAGCTGATGTCTGAAAGGCCATTACCTCATAGTTGATTGGCAAAATATGAGTTCATAAAGAATTTTCCTTTCTGCTTAGGAAGATAACAAAACAATGCAACAATTAAAGGATACCTAATATGCAAAAGTCTATATTTAGGGAAATATTAAAAATATAAGTTACTAATAACAGCTATTATTTTAAGTATTCTGCTATGTGTTGCCATTCACTATCTCCCTTCATTTTCCCTAAACCCCTCTAAGGTTGGCATTGTTTTTATTGAGCAGATGAAATTACTGAGAATCTGAGAGGTTACCTGACTAGCCATCATACAGGAAAGCACAGAACTGCTATTAGAATCCAGCAGTCTGTCACCAAAGTCCAGACTCTGCCACAGTTACACTCTTTAATTAATAGTATTTTATATTCTGTCTTTGGAAATACCTTTAAAATGTTCAAATGTCATACATATGTTAATGTATCCAATGCTTTGAAACTTTATAGGGGCAATATAGGGATGAAAATTAAAAAGCAGTGACTGAGGGGCCTAGCATAGGCAAATTCATAGAGACAGAAAATAGAGTTGGGTGTGATTAGTGTCTAGTGGGTGGAGTTTCTGTTTGGGATAGCAAAAAGTTCTGGATGTGGACAGTGGTAATAGTTGCAAGACATCACAAATGTACTTAATGTCACTGAATTGTACGCTTAAATGATAAACATTGAAATTTTTTATTACAAATTTAAATCTAAATTTTACCATAATTTAAACAAAAAGCAATGGCCAGAGTGAGGAGAGCCAGTTTCAATGCTTCACTAGGCCCCCGACCAGCTGCAAGCAGATCTGGAAGATGGACGGTTGTGGTGTCTTCTAAATGTAAAACTGTGCAATTTTGGCATTCGCGATCCCACTTACTCCTCACAATAATTATGTGAGATGTGTATGGCAGAAAACTCCATTTTAAAGATTAAGTATCGAAAAACAGAAAATTATTTAAAAATTATATCAAAAGTTATCTCTTAAAAGAGATTATCTTGAAATCAAAAGATAGCCAAATAATAATCATCATCATTAAAAGACCCAGGTGAAACATGGGATCTCCCAACTGTAGCCAAAGAGAAAGCAATTTCTGATAACATCTCATTTCATTTCACTTTATCACTTCCTCAGTGCTTCCTCTGTCCTCCTTCCTCACCTATTATAATTCATCTTTATTATCTTAAAAAAAAGTCTGCAGTAGGAAGAGTGAGAGATAATGAAATAAGTAACAGAAAAATAATCTCAAACACTTTACTATTTAAATAATAAACCTGGGTTATAGCTTATGAAACAGTGCAGCTCACCAAAAGTTCGTTTCAATTCCTAATACATTTCTACCTCATAGTCTCGCTATTCTTAACCACAGATTAATCTGTTAGAAGAAGAAACCTAACCATTTCAGTGCGAAAAGTCATCTCCCGTTCCAAAGATGAGAGGTGAGAGAAATGACGATCATTTTCAAAAAGTGTTACTAAATGTAACCTAGAAAAAAATGAAGTATCATATTACAATAAGAACAAGTTTTATACCCAACAGTAAAATAAGTGATAAGTAACAAAGCCATAAAAAGAAAACAATAAATTGTTATAATAGTAATTTTATAATTTGCTTACTAACTTGTATGTTTTTAGGCATTTATAATCCAGTATGGCACACACCTGAAATTCCTTAACTCAGTGGTTTTTAAGCTTAATTGTGGCCTGGTGCGTTGGCTCATGCCTGTAATCCCAGCACTTTCAGAGCCCGAGGCAGGCAGATCACTTGAGGTGAGGAGTTCGAGACCAGCCTGCCCAATATGGTGAAACCCCCGTCTCTACTAAAAATACAAAAATTAGCCAGCCATGGTAGTGCATGTCTGTAATCCTGGCTGCTAGGGAGGCTGAGGCAGGAGAATTGCTTGAACCCAGGGGGCAGAGGATGCAGTGAGCAGAGATCATGCCACTGCACTCCAGCCTGGGCGACAGAGTGAGATTCTGTCTCCAAAAAAACCCACCTTAATTGTACATCTAAAATTCATGTGGCTTTTTTCACCCTTCCTTCCATCCCAGGCCTCTAAATAAGAACAGAGGCAGGTTATTGTTTGTTTTTTAAGTTTCAAGTGATTCTAATCTACCAACCTTGGGAAATACCTCCATAACTGTTGAAAAAGGTTCAAAATATAATTTTAAATAAAATTACTTTAGATCAAAGCAGACTTACAATAAGTATAATATCACATAAGGGATCAACTTTCAAGTGCCAAAGAATGCAGGTGTGTGCTTGAAGACATTTTAGTAGTGAAACTCAACAGCTGTAGGCAGTGAAGAAAGGAGCATATGTGATAAACAAAATTAGCTGCAGTCAACAATCATGCTATAGCTAACTTATGTAGTCAGTACTTGCCAGTGAAGTTGAAAATAAAGCAAAGTTCCATATATTAACCCTGTTTTCCACCAACCCTTCTTTACATGTAGGACATATGCCAGGGTACCAAAAACTGCAGGAATATTCCCTACTATTGCAGCCTCAGTTCTAACATCAAAATCTTCCTGCAGACTAAATGTCTAGAGCAGCACTGTGTCTACAGAACATAGAGGCAGATCTCATACCTCCCAAGGGTAGAAATCGCTGAGTACAGGTAAAAATAAAATATTCCAGAGGGAAATATTATTTTATGAAGTTTTTAAAACACTCTTGTAAAATAATATACACAGGCTTGCACACTGAAAGACTCAAAGCCATTTAACTCTGTATAACCACTGCAGAATCTTTATCTTCTTTTTTACCTGATTTCCAATTGGCAGGTGTTACTAAACTTTACCACTGGCTGGCTGTGCTGGCTCATACCTGTAATCCCAACACTTTGGGAGCCGAGCAGTGGATGGTTTGAGGCCCCAGGATTTGACACCAGCCTGGGCCAACACAAGGTGGAAACCTCGTCTCCACTAAAAAATACACAATTGGCTGGGTGTGGTGGCACCTGTAATCCCCAGCTACTTCGGAAGGCTGAGGCCACGATGAATCACTTGAGCCCTGGGAGGGCAGAAGTTGCCAGTGAGTCAAGATAGTGCCCACCGACATCCAGCCTGGAAAGGAAACAGAGCAAGGATATGTCTCAACAAAAAAAAAAAAAAAGAAAAAAGAAAAAGTTATTTCCACTAGCAACATATAATTACCATAAAATAAAGGAGGGTTTTAAATGAACTACACATACGAAATACACTAGAAAAGCTAGATATTTAAAGAAACATGTAGTGAATTATTTGGTAAAGCAAAAATATTTTAATTCATAAGTTACTATTCCACTAATGCATCTATTTTGTAAATGCTGTTTCATATAAGTTTGTAAAAAAGCAAAATATATGCATAAATTGGTGCACATAAAGATGTTTTACAACTATAGCCAGAAGTTATTGTTTTACTGTATGCAAAGAGTGATGGCAATTTTTAATTCAAATGTTTCTAAATATTTCAAACTGAAACTAAATCTTACCAATGTAAAATTGCCACAAAGACGGCTGGAAAAAAGAAAAAAAGGAAAGTTATTAAAAGCTGCTTTATTATAAAATACCTTTAAAACAAGTATTTCAAATGTATTATTTTACATGCCTAGAAATATAGCACACAAAGCAAGATGGCCAGCTAATCCTGTCTCTATGAGCATAGGAAAAAATCCAGGACACAAAGTAAATCCTGAACAGAGCTTACCTCTCTGCAGAGGGGCTTGACAAGCAAAGGGAAAGACTTGAGAGGGTTTTTTTTACTTCAGGTAATTGTTAAGGTGATGGAATTATGGAAGATTGTGACTTTTTCGGTGTTTTTTTTTTTCAGTATTATTTTCTATTCCTTTATATGAAATTTTTAAAAGAAGTAAATATATACAATATGCTTCACTAGTTCTAACCAGGAGGAGCCACTCTAGATCAGTTTCCCTAGCATTCATCAGAAGACGATTAAATATAGGCAATCACTTCCTCAGCAGCACATCTAAAAGCCCCATTGTGCAACTCAACCCTTGATGAATCACAAGCTCTTTGCAAGCGCCCAGACCTAGGAGCTACTAGATGGCCTAGGAGACTAATCTGGAGTCACCTGTGCCAGCGCCCCATGTATAAGTAAGACTTCACCAGGGAGCTGGGAGACACTGCTCTGGGTATGGAGCTTTTACAGGAGCTGCAAACGCAGCCTGTGCCCCTGTTTGGTTGGGGAATTGCTTGTTTTCAAAGGTACCATGGAGCTGGAAGAGAAGAGTGGGGAATAGGACAAGTTAAAACACCACAAACTTTGCTGTTCTTATAGAGGTTCAGCAGCTTTTCTTGAATTAATGCCCTTTAGATTGTTGTAAACCTTTGGTTAATTTCCAAAGTTTTGAAGAAAATGATTTTGATAATTTTCCAAGTATTTTCATTGTCGTCATGGAGGAGTGCATTTCCTTGGCTATTCCAGAAGTCCTACCTCCCTTCTGAGATTTTATAATGGTATTTTTTATGGTTGTCCCAAATACACTTGGCAGGTCATCTTATAACCACCAATAATAGCCTCTTAAAAATTCAAAAATTACTCCACTTGGCTAACAAAATAAACGCAAATTAATTCAATAATTATTGAAGAAATTAAATTTTTAAAAATTAAACAACTGCAATGTTGAAATTCTCAACCATGCTTATCCAGATCTTTTCCTACATCACTAACTGTCCTGGGCTTATCTTAAATACTTCTCAGATCTACTTGTTTTATATCAAGATAGGCAAAGTATGGCCCATGGTGTATTTCTGGACTGTCTGCAAGTGCGGTTGCTATAACTTTTAAAAGGTTGAAAATTGTAAAAAGTTGTAAAGATGCTCATTAACTGTTATTAGGCTTCATTAATTTTAAAATATACAGAGACTATCCTATTCAACTATATTTGTATCCTATTTCTAATTCTCCTAACAATTATATACACTGGCAAAAACTCTTCAGATGATATATAAGGAAAAGGTCAAATATACTACGAAATTCATCCAGCTTTCCAAAGATGCTCAAAATCTTTGTGTCTCTCAATCCCTCCCTTAACCCACATAACACATCTGAAAAAAAAAAAAAAAGGATACGGTGTAGTGATGCCAGTATTCTAAATGCTTGAAGGGCTTATCACATGCCTTTTCCAAGCTGTGACAGAAGCATGTCCCCTGGACCCGGACATCCTATCAATCTCACCTCGGAAGGTGACCCAGCCTCATATTTCACTGAAACAGACCATTAGTCGCCAGCACTCCCAACTTCTTTTATCTCCAATTTAACATTTCTCCGTATAGTAATCCTCGCTTTTCTAGTTCCTGCCATCTCAGAAAAGGAATTCTCTCTCCTCTTTTCCACAGTTAGCTTCTCAGAGTTGTGCCTTTAATTCTACCCTCCCAAATATTCCAACCTTTGCTCCACTAATTATTTCCTCTCTTGGAATCTTAATCTCATCCTCTTCCCTTGATCCTTCCCCTCAGTCTTTAAAACTCCTAGACCTTAAAACACTCTGCGATCTGACAGCCCGTCAAACTAATATACTCCCCATCTCTCTCTCTCCCCTTGTTCAGCGACAAGCTCTTTGGCCAACTCCTTTCTACTCGGACCTTGCTATTATTTACTACTAGGCACCCACAAACCCTTGCTTGTTAAATTGCTCTCCTTCAAGACTCAAGAAAAGCGCCACACGGCTCCCTCTAGGGCTCTCCTGCCTTCTCCTCACCGATGCCGAGAGTGGTCCTGGTGGAGAACCGCCGCGCCTGCAGTTCGTGCACCTTTTCCCGGAGCTGCGCCAGGAAATTATGGACGAACTGGAAGGGGCCGAGAAGAAATGTGTTGGCCATCACCTCCAGCTCCAAGCCTTTTCGCGCTTTCAGATTTCGGATCCTCCGCGGGGAGGACCTCCTGGCGCCCCTTGGCAGGTTCCGGCCGCATAGCGCCGACCTTCCCACCTCCTCCTCCACCTCCGGCTCCCGGGCGGGGGAGGCCCCGCGCCGCCGCTTAGGCTGGCTGGGGCGGGAAGATTGTAGCGGCTTTGAGCTTACTCCTTGTTTTCTCATAATCCCTGGTGGAGCTGGGTCAATTTCAGGCACAGCCAGGCGAGTCGGGCGAGGTTCAGAAAGGCCTGACTCGCCTGGCAGCCTCAACGGACTTGTCCCCGCAGCCGTTGCGGACCTCCCGGTCGCCATGGCGACTGTGAAATGTGGGGTGGGGCGCGTGCGGTCGAAGCCATTCGCGCGGGCAGTCCCTGCGTGTCCGCCCACGTGCTCCCCACCGCTCGCAGCACCTCCGCCTCCGCGCTTTCCCGAGCGTGCAGCCTCGGGTGAGGGCAGCCCCACGCACAGCCCACCACACCCTCCCCAGCGCCTGCAGCCTGCAGTGCGCCCAGTCCCCAAGCCCGCACGTGCAGTCGCCACCTTGCGCGCAGCTCCATGTACAGCTCCCCACACGCTGCCAGCCCCCTGGCGCAGAACCCATCACCGCTCGCCCTTCACGCGCTTTACTGGGAGGGCAGCCCCCGCCCCCCACCCCGAGCGTGCAGCTCCACGCAGCCTCTCCACACTCCCCAGCGCCCGCAGCACCCCGTGTGCGCACAGCTCTGCCAGTCGCTTCCCCGCGCGCCGCTTCAGGCCATAACCTTGCTGGCGACTAAGTCTGAAGAACTTCTCGTGGCTTCATTCCTTCGGGTTTAGTCTTAGCTTTGACATTTTAACCAAAAGGTTACACGTTAATTAACGAGGTATTAAAGGGAAAGATCTCAGCTGCAAGAAATAACTGTAGGAAGTGTGTCAGGGAAGCCAGCGGACCCGCCCGTGGTGCACCTGGCATTAGGAACGTCTCTGCTCTCCTACGATCGCGGGGGTATCGGACAGTCAGTGCCTGTTGCCAACGCTGAGGGAACGGGCCGAGACTGCGGACAACACGTGGCAGAGCCGGCCTGAGTCCGGTGGGTCTGACCCCAGAGCCTCAAGTTGACGCCAGTTCCTTGGCACGGGACACCGTTTACTGAATCTTAAAGCAAAATGCTTTTCCAGTAAGGTTCCGAGAAGTCGTCAGCCCTAGGAGCGGTGTGCTCAAGCACTTTCAGCACCAGCCAGGACCAACTAAGAGGGGAGCGCTTAGCTCCCAGTCACCGCGCAGCCCTACAGGAGGCCAAAGCGGCTGGCACAGACGCACTGGGACCGCTGACATTTTCCGTGTCCTCTGTCACGGTCCCATGCTGGAGCCCACACCGCTTCACTTCCCATCTGTTTGATGATGGATCAAATTGAACTCCCATATCCTAACTGACCAGTCTAAATCATGGCTCATCGTGGTCAGGTTAATTTTTTCCTGATGCAACACAGCACAAAAATGTTCATGGCTCCCCATAGCCCACAAATCAAGTCCTAGGCTTGCTCACCAATGCCTTCAATAATTGCCCCATATACATTTTCAACTTTAATTTCCCACTTTCTCGGGCACAAATCTTCCATCCCAGTCATTTCAGGTGAGGTCCACAGCCTGAGACACCATAACTGCTGAATTCCTTTACTCACATGGAAAAGGCACCCCTTGGCTTTTACATCCTCTTCTCCCCGCCCATCTGAATGCTATCACCTTCCAAGCCCCAGCCCATTTCTCCAGCCCATATTAATTATGCTTTTTCTGAAGGTCTAGAACACTTAACTGACAGTACTATTTATCTTGTCACTCATTTAAATTCAGTAAGTGCTATTACTGTTCATATTTTGTTTTGGGAGATTTTTTCAAGGAGCATTTCTACATTCCTGGCATTGTGTTTGGTGCTCAAAATGTTTTCTCACTTAATTCATGCAATAACTATATGCACATTTTAAAATCAAGCATCAGGGATGTAGTTATTTGCCCAAGTTTTAACAGCTAATAAAGTGGAGTGATTGTTTTTCTTTTTGGTCAGTTTGTTTTTTTCTGGAATTTCCAATTGCCTTTTGCATCTCTTGGTGTCCTGGTGGGATATAAAATGCTCTTACCCATGGTCTAGCCCTTGAAAGTACAAATCTGGTCATTTTTATCATTTAAAAAATTAATATTTTTATAAGAATGTTCATTGTGCTATTATTTATATCGTTGAAAAATAGAAATGGCCTCAGTGTCAAACACTAAGTTATGAAACATTCATATAGTGAAGCATTACAGCCACTAAAGTCATTTTGCATGGATATTTAATGAAATAGGAAAATAGTCATGACACAGTAGTGTTGAAGGAAAAAAGCAGGATATATTTTATGATTCATATGTTTAGTGAACACATAAAATTAACTGTGTGCCATATGCTGCTCTAAATCTCATATAGGAAGAATACTGTATAGAGGACTCTTATAGGAATATTACCAATATATGACCTTGAGCTAGTAATTTAGCCACTCTAGGATTAATTTCCTCATCTGAAAAATGAAGACAGCTATATTTGTCTTACTGATGGTATGATTGAATGAATGAATACTTATGAAGCATCAAAAACACAGCACGTGCTTAAACAAATGTTCCTTTATTATGTTCTAGACTGGCCATCCTATAGGGCACTAGTGAGTATTTTTAGGTTGGTGCAAAAGTAATTGCTATTTTTGCCAGCACTTCCAATTAATATTTTGCTCACTTGGTTTCTTTGTCATCAAGTGATATGTTAGTAATTATTGAACAGTAATACATGTTTTAGGTTCATTAGTTAACTGAGAGATAGTTGCCTAAATAATTATGTATCTACTCCTACTAAGGAGAGGAGTAGATTTGTGTATAAGAGGGAAATCCTGACACTTAATTTTATGTGCGGTTAAATAGAATCAGGGATCTTTTCATGTTTTTACAGCTTCTCTAACAGTGGTCCCTTATTTTGACTTTGTTATTTTGAATGGTTATTTGAGTCACATTTTAGCTGCATAATAACTAACGACAATAACTTAAAGGAGTTAGGCTGATAATTTAATCTATGATGAATTAACAATTAAAATAGCACATTATAATTAGATATGATGCAATATATTCTTGCATTATCTTATCTTTGAAACAGAGATGCCTCATGATTTAGCTTTTTTTTTTTTTCCTCAAGATAGGGTCTCACTGTGTCACACTGGCTAAAGTGTAATAGTGTTCACTGCAACCTTGAACTCCTGGGCTCAAGCGATCCTTCTGCCTCAGCCTCCTGAGTAGCTTGGACTACAGGTGCAGGCCACCACACACAGCTAATTTATTTTTGCAGCGATGGGTATCACTATGTTGCCCACGCTGGTCTAAAATTCCTAGCCGCAAGCACTCCTGCCGCCTCTGCCTCCCAAAATATTGGGATTACAGGCATGAGCCATTGCACCTGGCTGCAAATTATTTGTCTTACACAGAGATCTCTAATCCAGTTATGGATATCTAAAACTTGCCTCAGTTTTTCCTTTGTCCTTTAGTAAAACAATTGGGAATTTTAAAAAATGCAATTAAACTATGTAACCAGCAGATGGCAATAATGATCTGTAAATGAAAATTTCAAAACTCAGTTACTTATTAAATTCATTCTTTAAAAAAATCATGTTCTTATAATAAATCCATTTACTAAATATGAAATGCAGGAAAATTCCAAATGTAACCCCACATAAAAATTACATTGCATATATCATATGTCAAAATAATTAAGATATTCATCATGGCCAAGATTTAGTTTTCCAAATAATAATGACTTTGTTTTAATTGATTCAGAAAATTTATTAAAGTTTTAACTTCGCACAAATACATAGATATAAATTTAAGTGGATAGTTAAGTTCCATCTCTAGCCTCCAGGCTAGATAGAGGTATTTCAGTGAAGACCATTTTGAAAACATTACAAACTTTTCCAGTTACAATTTGGTAATTTAAAGTATGAATTTCACTTTAATTGAAACTTTATGCATAAAAGATTGGTTTTTATTTGTGCTGTCTCATAATTTCTTATGCATTAAGATACTTTTCCCCCTTTGTACAGTGCAAGGAGTTGGAACTGGCACCAAAGTATTTGTCTCTAGTTTATCAGCATTAGTTATTCTCAAAGATGGTGGCAAAAATCTTGGGATCTCATAGTTATTTTATTTAGTAATTTTATTCATTTTCATTATACCTCTCTAAGACTTTTTCTACAAATTCAAACATGTTTCTGCCAGGCTTTGGTATCAGGATGATTCTGGCCTCATAAAATGAGTTAGGGAGGATTCCCTCTTTTTCTATTAATTGGAATAGTTTCAGAAGGAATGGTACCAGTTCCTCCTTGTACCTCTGGTAGAATTTGACTGTGAATCCGTCTGGTCTTGGATTTTTTTTGGTTGGTAGGCTAATAATTATTGCCTCAATTTCAGAGCCTGTTATTGGTCTATTCAGGGATTCAACTTCTTCCCGGTTTAGTCTTGGGAGAGTGTATGTGTCCAGGAATTTATCCATTTCTTGTAGATTTTCCAGTTTATTCGTGTAGATGTGTTTATAGTATTATCTGATGGTAGTTTGTATTTCTGTGGGATCAGTGGTGATATCCCCTTTATCATTTTTTATTGTGTCTGTTTGATGCTTCTCTCTTTTCTTCTTTTTTAGTCTTGCTAGCAGTCTATCAATTTTGTTGATCTTTTCAAAAAACCAGCTCCTGGATTCACTGATTTTTTGAAGGGATATTTGGGTCTCTATCTCCTTCATTTCTTCTCTGATCTTAGCTATTTCTTGCCTTCTGCTAGCTTTTAAATGTGTTTGCTCTTGCTTCTCTAGTTCTTTTAATTGTGATGTTAGGGTGTCAGTTTTAGATCTTTCCTGCTTTCTCTTGTGGGTGTTTAGTGCTATAAATTTCCCTCTACACACTAAATGTGTCCCAGAGATTCTGGTATGTTGTATCTTTGTTCTCATTGGTTTCAAAGAACATCTTTATTTCTGCCTTCATTTCCTTATGTACCCAGTAGTTATTCAGGAGGAGGTTGTTCAGTTTCCTTGTAGTTGAGCGGTTTTGCATGAGTTTCTTAATCCTGAGTTCTAGTTTGATTGCACTGTGGTCTGAGAGACAGTTTGTTATAATTTCTGTTCTTTTACATTTGCTGAGGATGCTTTACTTCCAACAATGTGGTCAATTTTGGAATAAGTGCGATGTGGTGCTGAGAAAAATGTATATTCTGTTGATTTGGGGTGGAGAGTTCTGTAGATGTGTATTAGATCCGCTTGGTGCAGAGCTGAGTTGAGTTCTTGGATATCCTTGTTAACTTTCTGTCTCGTGGATCTGTCTAATGTTGACAGTGGGGTGTTAAAATCTCCCATCATTATTGTGTGGGAGTCTAAGTCTCTTTG